TATGAGCCCTTTGTCAACTCCTAGCTCAAAAGAGCCTGCTTTGGCTCTTCCCTGAAAGCCTGTGGATGGACCCAAGCCTCTGCTCACTTCAAAGGGTTAGGAACAATAGGCGGAACATGGTTTCCTTTCCTAGCTCTCCAGATAAAACAAGTTATCACGCCCCCAGCCCTGGAGACCCAGAGCAGCTTCAGCAGCGGCAGCTAATGACAATAAGTTTGTCACTTACAATACTCACAGCATGCCCTGGCCAAGGAGTGAGGCCGGCCACAGAATACCAGCACAGGCCACAAGCCAGTCCATGCTGGAGCCCCTCCAAGCTCTGCCCTTTGTCTTGTTTACACATGCATAGAATATGCACATGCTGTATGTGGTATATGCATCCACGTGCATGGACAGAGACTAGAAGAAACACCTAATCTGGAGCCTGCTATTTTCCAGCTAGGTTGGTGGGGGACAAGCCCTAGTATTCTGTCTGCCTCGCCCACCCAGGGCTGGGGTCACATGCGCTTAGCCATGTGGATGCTAGGTCCTCATATTGCACTGCTAGCACTTCACCACTGAGCCATTTCCAGATCCCACTGCAGACAGTGCAGCCTAAATTGGCCCTGAATTAGCTGGGATTACAGGTGTGTGCCACAGGGCCAGCTCGTAGTCCTTTTCTCATCTCACGTCTGTGTCTGTGTCTCCCTGGGAGACTTCATGTTCTCCATCCTCCCACATGGCTTCTATGTCATCTGACACATGCCCTAACATCGTCAACTGCTTGCCCACCTCTTTCTACAGACATGCAAACCCACCTGCTGACTTGACAGACCACCCAGATGCCTTAAAGGCACCTTTTTAAATATGTAATTCATTTTTTATTATGTTCATTGGTATTTTGTCCACATGTCTGTCTTTCTGTATGACGACACAGAAGCCCTGGAACTAGAGTTACAGACAGCTGTGAGCTGCTATGTGGGTGCTAGGAATTGAACCCAGGTCCTCTGGAAGAGCAGCCAGTGCTCCCTGAGCCATCTCTCCAGCCCCTTAAAGGCACTTTTTAAAAACCTAAAGCCTGGTGCACCTCTTCCCTTGGCCGCACACCACCCCTGCTCCTTTGACTTGGTTCCCCACTGCACCAGGACCCATCATCCTCTCCACTGCACAAGCAGGAGCTCTGGAACCCAACAGGCTCCAAGATGTGCAGTCTCCAGGATGTACTGTGCATTAAGAAACAGCTGGCCATGGTGGTATACACCTTTAATCCCAGCACTGAAGGAGGGGGGGAGGGAAGTGGGTCTCTATGAAGCCAGTCTGGTCTACATGCAAAGTGAGTTCCAGCCAGCCAAGGCTATATAGTGAGACATTGCGGGGGAGGGGAGGAAGAAGGTATGATGTTTATGACTATGTGCCAGCTCAGTACTTCAGAAGAAGGATTATAAATATATGAATATTCATATATATATATACACATATATACACATATACACACACACATACACACACAAGCTTTTATTTGGGTTAAAAACCAACAATGAATCAAAATGATAAAGATGAATCATAGTAATAAAAATGGCTCCCTAGGGAGGAAGCGGGGAGTGGTGGAGGCATAATGAGATTAAAGGAAAGTCTATGAATGTGCCTTATTATACAGTTTAGAAGTGTTATATATAAACATCTTATAAGATTTCAAAAACAAACTAAAAAGAAAAGTTCCTAGAAACTGAAAACAAGTTGTAGCAAATGCACCTAATGTCTCCCAGAGTGGGGTGACCCAGAGTGGGGTGACCCAGAGTGGGGTGACCCAGAGTGGGGTGACCCACGGAGAAGAGACTGAGAGCACTGTTCTCGACGCAGTCTCCCTGCAGGAACACAACCCAAGCGAGGCCAAGACAAACCCTCACTTTCCTGCCTGAGGCAACACTGTAAACAGCTGCTGTCTTTCTAGGGGCTGTCCGCATGGACGGTCCCTGCTGGCATGGCTGGTCCTTACCAGCACTGGGCACTGGGATCTCTTAACAGCTCCCTCACTCCCACGGCTGGTAAGAGTACACTGTGCGTAACCCATTAAGCAACGAGGCTTATGCTGGACACGTGCTTTCTGCAAGTCTGAAATTTCAGTAGATAGTAGGTAGAAAGTGCTTATATGACCAGCCCTTAATAAAAAGCCTTGTGGGCTAGGGCCTCGTGTGTAGAACACTTGCCTCTCAGTAAGTGATGTCCTAGATCTAATGCCCGATACTGTCACAGAAAAAGAAAACTGTGAGCTTACAGCCATGTTTATAGGCTGGGGATGTAACTCATTTGGTAGAGTGCTTGCCTAGCCTGCATGAGGCTCTGGGGTTAGTCCCAAACACCTCATAAACCAGATGTGGTGGTACATGTCTAAAATTCATCATTAGAGATATAGAGGTAGGAAGATCAGGAATTTAAGGCCAACATCTGCTATATGACATTGTCTCAAGCAACCCAAAAAAATCCACACCCTGGACACAGAGTCTCTTAGGAGTTCCTTGCTAGGCAATGCCTCGGGGTCTATGGACGGACTCTGTGCTGCTGGAGCTGGACACATCCGTGTGGCTCCAGCTGTGGCACTTTTGGCCTTGGGTCAGTTCTTCTCCAGCTTTATCCCATGCCTTCTCTATAGCCTTTCACGGTGGTAACCACAGCTGTGGGGCCTCCTAGCTCATCACTGAATCTAAGTTGGCCTTGGTGACCTCCACCACAGCAGGATAAAACAAATTAGTCATTTTGTTAATCTTTCTATGAAATAAGACTGCCAATGTAAGCCAAAGATATAATGTTAGAACTGGCAAGATAGCGCAATGGGTAAAGGCACTTACAGCCAAGCCTAACAACATGAGTTCAACCCCAGGGACCCTCATGGTCCAACTGCTGATGGCTGCCCTCTGACCTCCATACACAGTGGTACATGCACACACTCACATACCATCTAACTAAAACAAACAAACAAATAAATGTGAAAACTGTTTTAAGATTCAATTAAACTCAAAATAAAAAACACCTGAGTCTTCAGTTTGAATTCTAAATACCCGGTATGAATTCCAGTTCTTTCCATTGAGATAGAGTCTCACTGTGTAGCCAGCCCAAATTGGCCTACAATTTACTAGAGTCTAGACTGCCCTCAAACTTACAGCAATCCTCCTGCTTTAGCTTCCTGCCTGCTGTAATTATAGGTGGGAGCCATTATACCTGGTGCAATTTCTTTTTTAAAACACATATTGTGGCTGAGTGTGTTAGTACACACTTGTTATCACAGCACTTGGGGAGCTGAAGTGGGAGAAAAGTGGGTTCAGGGACAGTCTGGGCTTCAAAGGAGACTCTATCTCAAGTATCAAAACAAAGAAATAAAACCCAGGTCAGTGGAATGGTTCACACGGTAAACATGTCTGCTCCTAAGACTGGCAAACTGAGTTCCAGCAACCACATGGTGGCTCAAAACAATCATAGATGGTTGTGAGCCACCAGGGGATCCAACAGGCATACACATACTCATATAAACACATGCAGGCAATATATTCATACATATAACGTAAAAACAAAAAATATTAAAAATTTTTAAATGTTTACTCAAATTTTTAAACTGTGATGTTTACTGAAGAGAGGGCTCACTGGTAAAGAGTACTCAGTGTCTTCCAGGAGGACCTGGGTTCAGTCCCAGCACCCACATCGGGCAGCTCACTCAACTTCACCTAGGAACACAAAGGTCCTCAGGGAGCGACTGCAGCTAGCACTGCAGAGGGGAGCACTGACCCTCAGTGGTGAGCAGCAGTGGATGCTATAGCCATTTCGGACAAAGACTTCGGGGTCAGCGAGAGCATCTGAACTTCCGATGACCTCTCAGTGCAGGAGCCAGACACCATGATCCTGCCTACACTAACCTAACCTCAGCTGTGCAGCACAAGTCCACAGCACCAGTCATGATGCTGCACCAATAACTGCACGGCCTTAGGGGCCCATATGGAACTTCCTGTGCGAACAGTGGCCACACAGAGAAGTAATTATCCAAATCCTGGGATGTGTAGATCACAGATGATAAAGACTTGGTTTCTCCAACATATCAGCATCAGAAGAAAGTGGGGACAATGTATAAATCCAAAGCTAATGTGTTCATGTCACTGTGTGTGTCCAAACTCTCTGTGCCCAACTTAAACCTCCACTGCACCTCTCACCCAGTCCCCTCTGTGTTCCAGCCACCATCATTTCTAGGTCCCTGGAGTAGCTCCAGCTCCTTGCAGGCACTTCCCCTGCCTGGGAATGCTATTCTCCCTCCTTCCCCACTGTACCTGGTAGATACCTGCTCATTCTGACTCAGCAGAGGGACAGCCAGCCCTTCCCCAGGGGATGATTGGGTCCCTCCACCTAGTTATTCACTCATACTGTACCTTGTATTTCTCATGGAAGTACATTTATTGCTTCCCCCTCCCCCCAATTTTGGGAGATATGATCTCACTATCTGGCCCAGACTGGCCTTGAACTCATAATCCTCCTCCCTTGGTCTAAGTGCTGGGACTATAAGCATATATCATTAAGTACTGTTCTATATCTGCAGCCCTCCCAAAGACAAGACAATCCCTAAAGGCAGAGGCCACATCTCTTAGCAGTCCATGTGCAACAGGAGCTAATGAAAGTCTTACCAGAAACCATCATGAATGGCTCACACTAGTAGTCCCACAAGGCTGGCTCATGTCTAAAGCCAGCTAGACTCTGCCTCAAAATAAAATAAAGAGCTTAATAGAAACCTAGCATTCAGGACTCATGGAGATAGAGTTTGGGGCCAGCCCTAAGTTATAAAATAAGAATTTGCCTTAAAAAATTAAGAAAAACACCAGAACAAATGAAGCCACATGGCCCCATACATTAGGTAGGCTTCCAGGGACCAAGCTAATTTGACAAGGGGCTAGCACAGTCCCTGCCAATCTTGCTTGTGATGATTTCTTATGGTATAAGAATCTAGCCTGCTATCCAGACAGCTGAGGTCCCAGGGAAGGACTCACCGTCTCATGGGACTTGGGAATGGGTACGATGATGGCCAGGACACAGATGAGCTGAAAGATGGCTCCCAGGAAGAGCCCGTACCGCAGCAGGTTCTCCAGGAAGGTGGGCTCAGGCACCTCGGGAGGCGAGAAGTCTAGGTCGGAGGCCATGGTCCAAGGCACCAATGCCAGGCGTCTCTTGAGATTCACTGTTCTCCAGAACCAGATTCTAAATGGAAAGAGTGAATATCAGGTTTCTCCATGTGATCTTTGAGTGGTCCCACTGGGTACATGCACACACCGAACAGGAAGCAACTTCAGGGAGGCATAAACCATTCTTCAATCTAATTGGAAGATACATGCACAACAAACCATCCTTTTAACTTTGTAAATGTTTGATATTTTCTGAATATAATGCTAATAAAAATAAATAAGCAAATGCAAAAATCTCCAACCAATGTTTTTATAAAGACCTGCACATTTCTGTATTTGTTCTGTTTTGCTTTTGAGATAGTATCTCACTCATCTTGGACTGGCCTGGAGCTTGCTATTAACCTAGGATGAGCATGAGTTTCTCATCTCCTGTTTCTGCCTTCAAGTGCTGGGGCTGGAACCCAGGGCCTCACGAATGCTGAGCAAGCAGTCTACCAACTGAGGAACACGGACTACTTACCTGACTTTGTTTATCTATTCATTCACTTAGTGGTATAACACTTAGGGATAACAAAGACTGAAGAAAGAGACACAGACTAATGGCTGCTCTCAAAGCTCTGTCCAAAGGGAGGCACACAGTGAACCACGGGGCCAGGCTGTATGGGGAAACTGTTTGGGAGATGTTAGATCTTGTATGGGGTGTGAGAGAAGGCCCCTGTGGATGACGCAGATCTTCAGTAAACAGAGATGAGAACAGGGCAAAAGTAGAGTGACTCACACTTGTAATCTGAGGGAAGAATAGTCTAGATAGAAAGAAAAGGAGATGGAGAGAGACCCCAGGGTGGACAAGGGACCCACATGGCCAGGAAGGGAATCTGGAAGCTGGGGAGATGAGGTGGGGATAAACATTGGAAGATCCAATCCTTTTTAACTTGACCAAATAAAAAGTAAAGCAGAGAAAAGTACTAAGTTCTAAATTACTTTTTGTTGCTGTTGTTTTATTTATTTATTTACTTTTTGTTTTTTTTTTGTTTTGTTTTCTGAGACAGACTCTCCTTATATAGCCCTAGCTGTCCTGGAACTCAGTATCTAGATCAGGCTGGCCTTGAACTCAGAGATCTGCCTGCCTTCCTGACTTTTGTGCCATGTGCTGGCATGCAGAGGTGTGTACCACACCCAGCTTTAAACTACACGTTTGAATGAAGACAAAGTGGATACAGAGAAACCCCCGCCCATACACAGAAGCTGGTAGATAGGTAACAGGGTGACCAGTCAGGCCTTCGCCCACCTCTCCTCTCACCAGCCCTCTCCCACTCTCTCTGTTTCTTTTCTTTTCTTTTGTTTGTTTTCGAGACAGGGTTTCTCAGTATAGCCCTGGCTGTCCTGGAACTCACTCTGTAGACCAGGCTGGCCTTGAACTCAGAAACCCACCTGTCTCTGCCTCCCAAGTGCTGGGATTAAAGGCGTGCGCCACCACCGCCCGGCTCTCTCTGTTTCTTAAAAGACATGGTTTCTCTGTGCAGCCCTGGCTGTCCCGGAACTTCCTCTGTAGACCAGGCTAGACTAGATCTGCCTGTGGAGTGCTCAGATTAAAGGCTTTTGCCATCACTGCCAGGCTCCTTATTTCCTCCTCCTCCTCCTCCTCCTCCTCCTCCTCCTCCTCCTCCTCTTCCTCCTCCTCCTCTTCCTCCTCCTCCTCTTCCTCCTCCTTCTTTTTTAATGATTTTTTTATGTGCATTGGTGTTTTGTCTGCATGTATGTCTGTGTGTCAGATCCCCTGTAAGTCAAAGACAGTTGTGAGTTGAACCCTGGTTCTCTGCAAGAATAGCCTGTGCTCTTAACTACTGAGGCATCTCTCCAGCCCATCTTCTTCCATTCTTAATAACGCTGTCTGTGGCTCTCCAAGAACCCTGAGCCCTCCATGAAGCTGCCATCTTCCCAGAACAGCCTTCCAACCATGACCGCTATTCAAAATTCCACTCTTAACTCCAAGCCTGAGAACAGGGGTCACCCTCATCATGTCTTTTGTGTCACCCTCCCCTTTGCCTCTTCTTTATCATGGCACCCCAACAATAAAGGGACAAATGTACTGTGCTATCAGGTGTCACAGGTGCCTTTGTGTTTTCAAAGAGAGACGTGTACTATACCATGCAATTTCCAGTGAACTCTGAACTACCCAATATGGTTCTCATGAACCACATGAGGTCCCAAATGTGGCTGGTCTGAACTGAACCGACAGTTAAATTAAACACAGACAAATGTCAAGACTTATTATGAAAGAATGTAAACAATCTCATTAATAATGTTTGTTGATTATATGCTGAAATGCAGACTGTTAAATTACTAAAACTAATTTAACTTAATTTTAAAAAAGTTGGAGAACTTATTTTATGATGTCAAAACTTACTAGAAAATTGAGGTAATCAAAGCAGAGCTACTGACATGAGAATAGACATACAGACGGACAGACAGAGAACTCCAAATAAACGCTCACAGGCAGGAGAGGACAGACTTTAAACCAGTGGTACTAAGAAACAGTGTCTACACACAACAACAAATCGATGAAGTAGATGGTCCCCTTGTACCTCATATAAAGATGAATTCAAACTGACCCAAGATCTAAATTTAAGAGTCCAAACTATAAAACCACTAGGAGAATCTTAGGGGGAAATCGCTGTGGCACTGGGTTTGGCAGTGGTTTCCTGGATGTGACATCAAAGGCATAAGTTACAAAAGAAAGGAGTCAATTAGACTCCACAGAAAGAACGAGACCTTTTGTTCAGAGAGGACATTCCTCAGAGAGGGAAAGACAGCCCAGAGAATGGATGAAGACATTTATGAATCATACTGACGGTAAAGTCTAGCATTCCCATAGACAAAGAATTTCCACAAGGCAACAATAAAACAAAGCAGGGGTGGGAGAGAGGGCTCAGCCAGCTAAGACACCTGCCACCAAGCCTGCAACCTGAATTTGGAATGATGGAAGGAGAAAATGAACTCCAGAAAGCTGTCTTCTGACCATCACATACACACTGCAGCAAGTGTGCCTCTGACTCCTAAAATCGGCATAAAAACAAAACAAATAAGTGGGAGAGGGACAGTCAGTTCAAATCTGCAATCCCAGTAGTCAGCTGAAGATGAGTTCACAGCCAGCTTGTGCTACAGAAACTGACTTAATAAGAGTCAAAACCAGGAGAGTGGGGTTGGTGGCATGGTTCTCTGGTAAAGTCACCTGATGCCAAGCCTGACAACCTGATTTTGATCTTGGATAGACATGATGGAAGCCCAGAACCAATTCTCATAAGTTGTTCACACACACACACACACACACACACACACACACACACACACAGGATGGGGGTTAAAATGTAAAAAAAAAAAATGCTTATCAAGAAGCACTGGTGGGCACCAAGCGTCAGTAAAACTGTGGAGAAACTAGAAGCTGTGTGCATTGCTGTCTTAGTTACTGTTCAATTCTGTAAAGAGACACCACGACCAAGGAACTCTTATAGAAGAAAATATTTACCTGAGGGCCTGTTTGCAGTTTCAGAGGGCTAGTCCATGATCATCATGGCAGCAACCAGACAGGCATGGCATCGACGCAGTAGCTAAGAGCTTTATTTAGATCCTGACCCAGTCAGCAGACAGAGTCTGGGCCTAGTGTGGGCTTCTGAAACCTCAAAGTCCACTTCACAGTGGCTCACCTCCTCCAACGAGGCCACACTTCAAAATCCTTCTCAAACAAGTCACCAATTGGGACCAAGCTTTCACACATGAGCCTATGGAGGCCACTCTCCTTCAGATACCACAGCTACTGATGCGGGCACACACTGGCGGAGCAGCTGTGGAAACCAGTGTCTAGGTAGGATGCTGATGCGGGCACACACTGGCGGAGCAGCTGTGGAAACCACTGTCTAGGTAGGATGCTGATGTGGGCACACACTGGCGGAGCAGCTGTGGAAACCAGTGTCTAGGTAGGATGCTGATGCGGGCACACACTGGCGGAGCAGCTGTGGAAACCAGTGTCTAGGTAGGATGCAGAATTTTTGTCTAGGAGTGTGAAGAGGTTCCAGAAGTACTGGTAATAGTGATGCCTAATGACACACTTTATTCTTAAAAATGGTAAATTTTGAGTTACAGTCAGAGGCTCACATCTACAATTCCAGGACTTGGGAGGTAGATGCAGGAGAAACACAAGTTCAAGGCCAGCCTGGACAACATGAAACTGTCTCAAAAAAGGCAAACTTTATGCTTTAACACAAAGCAAAAATTCACTCTTCTTTTTTTCTATTTACTATTTATTTCATTTTACATTTTGACACAGGGTCTCACGTAGCCTACGCTGGCCTTGAACACCTGACCTTGCTGTCTTCCACTCTGGACTACTGAGATTACAGGCCTGTTCCATCATGCCTGGCTTACATGCTTCTTATACTTTAAATGTAACTAGCTAAATGTAACCATACATTCTATGGTTCTATGGACTAGCCCCATCCACCAGAACTGTCCATACGACTTTCTTCCATTCTGGCCCTGCTGCTCCTCTACTTTAAATGACTCTTCCAACCTGGAAACCATATAAGGATGACAAGATGGCTGACTATGCAAACAGGCTGAGTCTCACACAAATGTTTTTTGTTTTCCTTTTGACCTGGTTACTCTGGAAGCAAGATAGCCAATTCTCACATCAGTTCAGCCTATTCTAGAAGCCTTTCAAAGCAGGAGCCACCCCTCACTCACTATCCTGCCCCCTATCCTCAGAGCTGGCAGAACTTCCTCCTCCTGAGAAGGATCTGACTTCTGGAAAGAGCCCAGCCTCGGCTGGTTCCAGTTACGGTGAATCAGGTGGGGCATGGTGCTCAAGGATACCATCTTTGGTCATGTACAAGGTGTGAGGCTTGGAGGCCGGCAGACTGCTTGGAGCAGCTCCTAAGTTGGCTCTGAAGTGAATTCCAAGGCAGCCCAGCCCAGCTCTAGGGGAAGAACTGACAAGGCTCTCCACAGCACCAGCCCTAGTGCCAAAGCTGAAGAAAGCGTCACTCCTCCAGTGGCACCTCATAAACTTCATGCCCTTGA